AATTCAAACCTCAAATCGCTATCAATTTGCGTAAACTGTTGTGACATTTGGTCACAATTCATGAGTTGTGACCAATCGGGTCGACGGCAGACACACCGCTCGCTCCACACGTCTTCGGTCACCACTTGTCGGGCCAACACATCCCCGTCGGTGCCCAACAAACTCATCTCAAGACCGCCGACACAGACATCGCTCAACACTTTGTACCGAATTATCGTTAAGTTTGACATAAAGTTTGTTTCGTTAAATATTTGGTGCCAAACACGGCATCCATTGTCTGGGGATGTGATCACAACACTCGTCACCGACTCATTCCAGACAAAGAAATATCGGGAACTGAACACCAGTTGAGGCGAATGCCATCCGAGACCTGTTATCTCAATGGCCTCACTCTTGACCATCAGTGTTACGGCAATTATCACAACTATTTTCATAAACAACTTGTAGTTTATATACATTTTTGCACTTTTAAAAGTTATAAAACTTTGTAAAAAAGTAATCACAACAACGATATGTCAATTGAAAGCTAGTTATAAAATACAATAAATAATTTCCATTGTTTGGACGATTGGATCAATTAATGGCAACAAAGCATTGGTCTTAAGTATTGGGTTTAAAACGTTATTAAGCAATGATAACAACCACTCATTGACTACATATTATTATTAGATTTTAATCATATGTTAACAACAATTAAATTAATAAATAAGTTTACAAACAAACAAAAACTTTACAACAAAAGTGATGGCAATGACTGCAACAAAAAACACCACTTTATCGTCGGTACAAACGGATCAACAGATGTCTATACAGTACTCAATACACAATAAACTCATTAAATCAATACATTTATTATTAATATTAACTAACATTTAAATAATAACACAACTAATATAATAAACACTGTTATAAACTAATTTAATTCATTACTAAATCATAATAATAATGTAATTCAATTAAATACTTTAATTACATAAAAAATTTTATCAAAAAGTTTCCAAATAAAAAGCGGACGTAATGTGTGGTTAGACCCAAAACAGTCCAAACGTGTATCGCAACCACACTTCACATCCGTTTCCTATAATATAAGCCTCTTTTCCCATCAAACATGAAAGTCTCCGGAACTGTGAGTATTGATTATCACTTCATTTGATCCAATTATCATTGATATTACCACTCTTTGGCCACTCATTCATTATCTATACCTTTATTAATATATAATGTCTTGAATGAAACCCATTTGTGTCTCATTAGCCAACCATTTCCTAACCATTAACTCTCTGTAAAAATGATGTCTATTTTGTATCTGTTTTTCTAATTACTAATTAATTACAATTAAAACTAAACTTTTAACTAATCTTTCTATTCATTTAACGCTTTACTAATACTATTAAAAGTGTAAGGATTGCGACAAAAAGGTGTTGTGTTTTTACTTTTCGGTCACAATATCCGCACAATTAGCACATGTTTTACCATTGAAAGCAAACACTAATTGATTGTCTTAATCCTACCACCAGTTGCGTCAGTACCGGATCATCGGCCGTCATGTGCCGGACAAAGCGAATCCGTCGCCACCGCTGTATCGGATGACGATCTTCGCACCCGACCATATTGTGGCCAAATCGCGCTTTTGGTACTTCACCCGAAAGCTAAGGAAAGTGAAGAAAGCGAACGGAGAGATCGTTGAGGTGAAGGAAGTCCAGGAGAACAGACCCGCCGATAAGGTGAAGAACTACGGCGTTTGGCTGCGCTATAACTCCCGCACCGGCACTCACAACATGTACAGAGAGTATCGCGACATCTCTGTGGCCAACGCCGTCACCTCTTGCTGTACGTTATGATCGCCTGTTTTGCCCGACTCTTGCGCTCAATTGATACTCGTATTACGAGTACTGTTTGAAAGCATACATACTATTAGGCGATGAGAGCTATTTGGAGCGCTTTAACCGCCACTACGCGGGTGTCATGAAGTATGTAAGTCAAGGCCCACTCCTGGTGGACGTCATGATGCATAGACCCCACAGTCAGGCCAAGAACTTCATGGACTCACTGCTGGCCTTCTGGCCCGGCCTTCAAGTACTTAAGGGCGATCTAAAGCCCGCCATCGAAACGCATGAAATGCTGTATCAAGTGATGCAAAAACACCGTTTCCTACCCGAAGCGTTCACCACTGACTTCAGTGTCCATTGGGCTCACCATCCGCTGAGACCGGAGTTCTTGGAGAGCACTTACTTCCTATACAAAGCTACCGGTGATCCCCACTATCTAGAAGTGGGCAAAACAGTGCTCAACACTCTGCAAGAGTTCGCACGCGTCGAGTGTGGCTTCGCATCCGTGAAAGATGTGCGGACGGGTGGACACGAAGACCGAATGGATTCGTTTGTTTTGGCCGAAACTCTTAAATACCTGTATTTGTTGTTCGCCCGCAAAGAAGACATCGATTTAGATTTGGATGAATTTGTGTTCACCACTGAAGCCCATCTGTTGCCGCTATCGTTGGCCAACTTTAACATAACGGGCGGCAAAACTACTCATAAACTTCGGGCGCAGTCATTGATCTCATACAGCGACGAGCGATACGTTAGGGAATGCCCTAACACTCGGCTATTGCTGTACAAACATCACGGACTCAACTACGGCAACAGTATTCGCACAAATATGAAAGACTTTGTGATTAAGTCGAGTCAATCGGCGTATAAACAGCCGCTGCGGTCGAAGGGCTCGCGATTTCCCAAACTAAAGGCCTCCGAGTTCTCGGCCAACAATAAAGACCACTTAGAGATCGTTAAGCAGATGGGCATCACTGTTGTCGTGTTGGCCGACGGAAGGGTACAATTGGTGCACAACAGCGCCGCCGCCGCCAGCGCTGAGGACGCCGAAGAAGGCACTCAATTCATGCAAGAGATGATCGCATTATCCAAACAGCAAATGATTCAAAACGAGCAAAAACTGCGGTCCATATCATTCACACTACCGAAGAGTAGCTCCGGTGACCTTATGGTGAATATGGTGTTGAGCGCCGGTCCGGCGCAGTTCGGTCTCGACCTCAGCAACATTGAGGAGACAATTGACGGCAATGTTGTGCTATCGGATCCGTTGAACGCATGCAAATGGCCGCTGAGGAATGGCCTGCGAATCAACGGCAAGATTGTTGTCGTAGAGCGCGGCGACTGTATGTTTGTGGACAAAGCGCGGAATGTGCAGAAGAGTGGCGGCATTGCCGTCATTGTGATGGATAATGTGGTGAACACGTCGTCCAAGACGTCGCCCATGTTTGCCATGTCTGGCGACGGTCACGACGACGTGGATATACCGGTGCTGTTCCTGTATTGGGAAGACTCACGCCTACTGACCAGTGCTATCGCACGTCATCCGCATCTCATCCTATCGTTGGGCGTACAGAACAGTAACGTCACGGAAACGACTCAAACCATTGTCGACGACGGCATCGATTCGGACGCCGATCTGATGAACAGTGAGTCCATTAGTGATAGCAATAGTGCCGACGGTTCGGTCAAAGGCGTGGCACATGTGGTGGACGTGACCGAAGACCTGTTGGGCTCGGCGTCCGTCGACGCCATCGACATCGACAAAGTGTTGAATGTGTTGAACGCCGACATATCCGACAAATACAGCGATTATGTGAACAAACAATTTAAGACATTAGACAATAAATTAATTGAAGACATTTGGGACTCAGTGTTCAAATCAACGGTTAAGACAATGCAAGACGTGATACAATCCAAACACTATAGAGATGTGGAGCCAATCGTGCGGCAAGTGTTCAGAGCGTCGCAGACACTGTCCGACGTGAAGAAGACTATCCATCACTGGATCGAGTTCTTGAACGAAGAGAAACTAATGAACAGTCGCTTCTGTAGTAATCCATTAGTGTCTTCCGTGGCATTCAAGAAATTCATGATTGGTTCCAACGTATGTCTTAAGGGTTTATAATATATGATTGATTTTTGTTATAATTTACTGTAAATTAATAAATAAATAATTGAATTGTTTTATTAACCATTTGTAGCCAATTATTGTTCGGTATGTTTTATATTGAGATTATTTATGTAATAAATGACTGTAAATAACACATAATTTAATTAATTAATCACTGAATTAATTCATAAAACATGATCACAACTCAAGTTTCTGCCTGTGGTCTGATCCGCATTTGCAGCCATCGTTTGTATTGTTGACTAATGGAGTCATTTGTGGCCTTAATTGCACTTTCTTTATGAGAAGTTTTGAGTATTTGCGGAACAGATTGTAGTGATAGCAGTAGATATGTTCGGGTAATAAGTTATTGAGCACTAATTGTCTGGATTTGTCGATCATTAGCTGCGATTTGTACTCGTTATGCATCGCTTCCTCCAGAGTGGGAATCAGATCATTGAGTTCTTTATGGACGGGAATGTAGTGGACGTTCGGTTCCAACAAATTATAGAAGAACTCGTAATACTTTGAGTCCTGTTTGAAGACAACAGAATTGCCGGCCAAAAGGTATGGCAGTCGATACGCGGCGACCGTTCCGTCGATATTCATCTGGTATTTGAATTGAAAGAAGTCGAAGAATGGTATGTATGGAGACTTTGGTCCCAATTCTTCCATTTGGTCGCGAAAGAAGAAGTAATTAGTGAGTGAGGCGTTTATGAGAGTCGTGTGATTTTTAGACAATCGGATCAATTTGAGCCGATTTTCATTGGAATCCCTTCCTCTCCAGAACAGCATATCCTTCTTGTCCTCGAATTTAATCGATTGTTTGCCAAACACTGACAGTATGTCAAGACTTACGCGACCCTTCATTCG